TTAGCACTGCCTTGTGTTGGTGTATTTCATTAATAACCCTGCTAAAACGTATTGGACTTTCTGACTCCAATGTAACAAGTTTTAAAAAATCAAGGTAGTTAGTATTTTCATCTCCTCCCCAGATTTCCAAAATTGCTCCAACATTGCATAACATAATTAAGCAGCCTCGTCCAGGTGTGTCCCGCCTCCCCCTGGAGTCGCAGTGTAAATAATTGAATCAATTTTGATTTATCTGCACACATTTCTGCCAAAGTGAAGCTTTTATGCAGTGTGGAACATGGTGAGCTAAAGCAGAAACCCTAACCCTGACCTCTGTTGTATGCGGACATCTGCAGGGGTTTCCTGTTTGTCAGCGTTTCTTGGCTCTGCAGAGTTCCCATTAGGCAGTGCGACGTCCCCGCCTGCCTCCTCCCTGTGTGATCCGACCGTAATCAGTTGACCATCTGTCAGCCATCACTTAACGCATTCTTCCCTCCCGCTGCGCGCTCGTCCTTCGGTGGGCCGGTCCCGCCCTCCAAACATGCTGCCATGGCGCCTAATTGCTTCGATTAACATTTGAAATGGGATGGGTAATCTGTTTACCTTGGCCAGATGAAGACGGGCGAGATGTTTATTAGATTACATCACACCTCGGATGATGACAAACCCGACATGCGCACAGCCCGTCTTAAGCCAAGTAATCCAAAGTGTCAGAAAGTCTTTGCTCTAATCAGATCACACAAAGACTTCATTTGCTTAAGTTCTGTAAGTTTCAAGGCCTGTGCTGAGTCAGGTGCGATAGGCTTACAGGATGAACTTGAAATGACCTTTGGATTACAAATCACAGCTTGTATTGATCTGTCATAACCAAACTTCTTCAGTGATCAAGCTGGATCTTATGAAAGATCTATGCTGCTATGAAGAGAGGCCTGGTGAACTGTAAAGGTTGATGAAAGGTTTTAGTCCCGTCTTTCTATATCACATCTAAAACCAGGAGTGTTCATCTTGTAAACCAACGAAGCAGAGAGGTTCAGTCGGCCAATGCCTGATCCTCTCTGTGCTTCAAACCTGGCATTATCTCCGTTCAGAGCAGCTAGTCGGATTACTTCAGTGCTCTTTTGGAGCAGGATGATTACATATGTGGGTGCCAATCCATTTAAAATGTTAAAGGAAAGTAAAAGAAACGTAAAGTCAGTGTGAAACGAGGCAAACAGCCCGCGTAAATCTGCTAAAACAGCAGGGATGCGATTAAGTCTTCCTACCTGGGAGGGCCGGAGATCTGAAGGTTGGCTGATCTGGATTCAAAGAACTGACTCGTTTTCAGAAGCCAGGCTGGTGTGATTCATTTTGTTCAGGCGATATTAACTTCTAGGGTATAATTTAGACTGGAATCATTCACCCCTTAACAACCAACCAAATTATGTTAAATATTCTAAAAAAAAAAAAAGAAAAATCATTTAAATTAATGACTACAATTTCATTTGACATTTTAAATGGCCTGTACTTGTATAGAAAGTCCAAGGACTCCAAATGTTATAAATGTTTTCATCTCTGCATATAAAAACAGGAGACAAAAGGCTCAGAGTCGGTCAGTACATTTGGTTTATTGGTGAAATCTTTCTAACTGCTAGCAATAAAGATTGGTCAGGGCCAGTTTATTGGAACTGCAGGAGTCCAGTCTAAATATGATGAAGGCATAAATATATTTTTCAGATCTTTAAAAGGATGAAAAGATTTTGCTTTGGCAACTTAGCATAAAACTAGCTATAAAACTACAAAAGCCACAACAGAAGTTATGCTGACAGGGAATTCAAGCTGTGCTAAAAGGAAGTTAGCATAGGTTAGCATAACTTTTGTTTGTTAGCAGATTTTGTTGTTGACCCTACTGGCTCATTATAATTTTGGTTTGGTTTGGATAACTATTTTGTTTGTGTTTAAGGAGAGGCAGATTTCTGTTCATTTCACAAATGTTTTATAATATATTTTTCACGTTCTTGAAATTCTGTAGCTAACATTAATTTTGAATTGTTTGCCAAAATTGCCTTTTAATCCTCCCACAGTTCCAAGAGAGGTTGAGTTGACAGTCAGATCACTGAGTGTATGTAAACTTCTGACTTTGACAAAAGGGGTAAAGAGGATAAAAAAATTTCAGATTTTTCCCAATTAAGTAAATAGAAAAGTTGTATGTTTATGTTTAATATTAAGGTAAAGCTGTCCGACACGAAGCCTCTCCACCCTAGAAGTGGCTACTTTCAGAGGGGAGTGGTGTAACAGCTGCTGAAGGACACAAAAAGGGTTTGGGGAATTAACATGGAGATGGATAGATAAAATTCTCTAATATCACAGGTCATAACTTCAGAATATGTTTCTGCTATAGTGATATTGCCTTAGAGGCTTATGACGCATAGTGCACTTTTTTATCTTGGATTGTTTTACAACCAGATGTAAGTTATACTTTTGTATATCTCACTTTTTTCTCAATGCCGCTTCCCTAAAGGTTATCATAGAAGAAGAAAGCTGCTCAGTGGAAGATGAATAAGTGATTCATGTCAGCGAAAGCCGATGAGAGATTCCACATAGAGATTCCACATAGGCTAAACATCTAGACGGTGAAATCTTTAGCTCTTTGAAGCTTCAAGACTTCAGAGAGTGAAATCATGTCCTTGCTTTGGACAAAATGATTGAGCGTCTGGAGACGTATCAAGGCTAAAACCAACAGAGAACCTTTTTAAGCTATGCTAATTAGCATGAAGCAGAAAACTCCAGAGAGCAGTCGCACCCCCTAATGACCAGCAGTCATGCTTTCAAAACAGAAGACGACAATTAAGGTTTCCTCTTTGATTCCTGAAACTTTCAAACTGCTCATTGTGGCGTTTAGTCTTCCTCATGTCCTGTTTAGACAAATCCCAATCGGCCCACTGGACAATTACACTAACCCCATAATAACGGTTACAAAATGGGACTTGACTATTCATTGTCTGCAGTTCTCTAGTCAATGTAACAAGTTTCACATGTAATAAAACCAGCTAACACTGGAAAAAAAACAAAAAAACAAAAAACCTTTCACATACATTTTGACAAGTGAAGAAAACTCAATTCTGATACCAAATGTAACAGAGAGGAACATAGCACCTGGACAGAGGCTGTACCGAATCATTCAGTTCATCGAATGATTCGAGTATCTTAATTATTTAAACTATTTGAGGCAAATTATCTGCCTTGAAGCTCCATTAAATTATGTTTTACTGTTTAGCGTAATGTGTTAAGGGCAGATGATTATTTGTGTTGCGCAACACTCTTACTTCCGCCAATGAGTTGCTGACGAATACTAAGCGCCATTAGCATAACATAGAGAGAGCACACGTCCTCTTTTCCCCGTACATGTTTGGGTTTCTGTCGTTTTTTGGGGGCCCACCATCCTGTCACTCACATGGACACAAAACCTATAAAAAGCTGTGGAAAGTGAGAATTCACCTGTTAAAATGGCTGAAGGTGAATAAGGAAACTAAAGACTGAAGTATTATTTTGTCAGCCTGCTGATTTATTATTTTTATCATTAAATCAAATTTCAAATTTTTGTGTAATTTTTGCCAAGATTTGATTTAAACAATTCACTATTTTTGTTACAGTTAATTTTCTAAGCTACAGTAAAGTTGTTAGGATGCACAGATATGAACATTTGGTTAAATACTATGACCACTGCTGCTATGGCAGAATTTAACAATATTTTATTTGATTATTTGATCAATCATCAGAATAATTGATAGATTACTGGATTACTTGATCCCAAAAAGAAATTGTTTACCACAGCCTTAAACTGGACAAACATGGCCGCCCACAATCATAGAGATCCCTGGTAGGAATGTGTTTAAAAATGTGACAGACTATTTAATTTTGAACTGTATAATTAATATAAAAACAAAATTTAAAGCTTGAGAAACCTCTAGAGTACATAGAGAACATCCAAAGTACCTGACCTCACAGTCAGAGCATCAGAGTAATTTATTAGCTTCTGTAAACACGATGCTTAATAAGTCACTTATAATAAATGCAAACATGGATCCTGAAGCATTTTTATCCAGTCAGATGGACGTTTTATTTGAGGCACAGAGCTCTGATAGGAGTTGATCCTGATGCAACAGGCTTCAAGTCTTTCATACACGACTCTGACGATCCATGATGAACGCCAACATGAGCGCATGGAGTAATCATCCTCAGGACTTGCATGAATCTGTTAATATTTATGTTTGATTTTTTTAATGCACTTCCAGAAATTCATCATTTATAAGCACCATATTTTAATATTCTCCCCTGAGATGTGTGTCAGTTTGCATACTAATCATCATCCAGATAACATAAGAACACGCTGCAGTATGCCTCAAATCATTTACAAAGTGCATAAACAGGAAGGATTCAACTTTCAGCTGCTGGATTTAAAAACACCTTGGATCATCCTTCATGAACCGTCATGTTGGGCGGATCCGGTTCAAGTGGAGCCATCGTCACTCTGTCTGCTGACTAATCATTTTTGACGTTTGTGCCTGAGGTTGTTTGAGGTTGAATGTATGATTGGAACTAGATCATGAAGTATGATCATGTTTGCACTTTTCCTGCCTATTCTTCCTGTTAGCCAAACAAAATACAAATAAACTTCTGCAAAGATGTGAATTAAAAACTATAACAAAGGAGATGTAATGATTTATAATGCGTTTATTCTGATTTTACTCAGATGTTTGTATCCAGTTTTGATTTTCTTTCTTTTGCATCATGTTTTTGTGCTTTGGCATATTGTCGCCCTACTCCGCTACCATCAGTCACACATCCCAGATGATTTGGACTTGACTCACCGTGCAGCTACAACAAGCGACCAGATGGAGTTGGAAGACGCTAAAAACAGGAGAAGTTGCTCTACGAAGCCAGAAGGGGGCAAAGTCAGAACTGGAAGTATGTTAAACTGGTGGCAGGCCTCCATTTAGAGAGCAAACGTTTGAACAAATATGTAAAAAAGTTACATACTGCACCTTTATTGTCTGGAACACAGTCGCACGTCTCTTTTCATTCGTCTCAGTCTGTTTGTTTTGCATCTCTCCACGGACTGCGACGTGACTCTATCAAAGGCACAAAGTGTTTCTGTAAATTGATAATCAACTGCAGTCTATTACTGATAATCCTAAAGGTAAAGACAAATAAAACTCAAGTCCTGATCCTATAACTTTTTCTAGGTGGGGTATTTGAGTTTTTTCCCACCAAAGCCCAAAACAAATTTAACCCGATTATAAATATGAAAATATTGAAAAGTGAGCCATAAAAGCTTCCTCCTCCTTCAGTAATCTGTCTGGATTCTTCTTATTTTTTGCTTGGTTTTCTTTGGCTTCACCACGGCAGAATTTCTGATTAATCTGCGTTCCTTTGGGGATTCTGATTGGTGTTTTCATAGAGCGTGTGCCCCTGGAAAGCCCTCCATTTATAATTGCAGCCCAGCGCGTCTCAGAGTCAAGAGTTTCATTGTGTAATTAGTCTGTGAGAACCATTGGTGGGAGTTTTAATCCCAGACTCTGATGGATGTCAAAGAACCTTTTTATCAACCATCGGGATCTGCATTCATTCCTATTAGAAGAGTGAGAAATCACTTTGACTTTCTTAACATCTCCCTCCTATGAGCGCGTTTTCTTCTAAGTGTGTTCATTTATGAGTCCCTTTCTTTGTACAGTTGTGTTTTTCTGTTGTGATCTGCGTCTCAGTTTTCAAGCCAGCTGTGTGTGCCGGTGTGTGATGAGGCTGTAAGGTCTGCCTGAGGGGCAGCAGGTGGCAAAGACATAATTTGTTTCCAGCCCCGTTGGATGGAGCCGCATTTGTCACTGCTGCCGTTTTGGAGCCCCTTGATGTCTAAAGCTCCTGAGTGCAGAAATAGAGAAAAGGGAGTTTCTTTGAGTGCTTGTGTGGCCATGCTCAGGCCTTCTGCTACCGTAATAGAAACATCATAAACTCCAGAGCTTTTCTAATGCATGTTGACAAAGAAAACCCATAATCACTTATTTCAAACATCAAATAAAAAGACTCATCTTTTCTTTTCCGCCTCTGTCAGAAGTTAAATCAAACCAAACTTCTCTCGTTTTAGGTGGGCTAGAAATTGTTTTTATTTGCTAAATGCCACAATAACACGATAAAGAATATGTCAGAGATTTATTTAGTTATTCATGTCTTCAAAATCAGAAGCTAAAGAGCAACATGACTCGATCGGGTATTTGAATTGTGAGTCACGTCTGAATGTGTTGCCGTTTTCCTGCGAAGCTAAAAGCTGTTGTGTCTAAACACTGTACCTGCAGTATTTTTGCTGTTTTGTTTTTACATCAGAAATACTATTAACAGAACTAATTGTGGATCACAAGGCTAATTTTTGTGGTGATCTCCCAGAAATATTTTGTGAAAATTACAGAAATCTTTAGTTTCTTTGCCTAATTGAAAGCAATACATTGTGTAACTCATTAGTTATTGAAGACACAAAGCATGCATTGATTAATACGTTTGCATCTGCTTCTATTTGCAGCCCCGGTCGAGGAATGCAAAGTATTTGCTATCCTGTCAATGAAGGGAAGGCGTTATTGTGTGCTTGGCTAAACATCATGAATATGACAAAGCACGGACAATGTTGAGCACGGACTTATCAAGAACAGATCAGAGATGTGTTGTGCTGGGTGAGTAACAGCTGGAGGCTGTTTGCTCGCTGCTGGAAATGAGCAACAAATCACTTCGGTTGGGTAATGCCGTAAAACACCAAATTACTATCATATTTTGACTTAAAGCAGTGAAAACAATGAAAGTTTTATCAATATTGTCCATTCATAGAGCCACTTGGCAGCTTTTACTGTTGTTATTAAACAGCAGTCATTTTATAAAACTATCTATCTACTCAGTCGGTACCTTATATTGTCTAAAAACGTCAGATAGATTCTCCAGATACAAAACTAACAAAGGTTAAAATCTTCATTGTTTCTTTTTTTTTTCCATCACTAAGATTGACTTTGAAACAGTTACATAGATTGAAACCAGCATATTATCAGATTTCATCGTGTCAAAATCTGCCCAGTAAATGATCAGAAAAAAAAAAGATTCCAATAGAAATGTTCTGCTGTTGCACATGTAACGCAACAAGATCTTCCTCATCTTAAATAACTATTCATTACATTCACCATTCATTGTGATTCAGTGACTTTTGAAAGTTTTTCGCATGGCGTCATAAAGCTAAAGCATCACCGTCATTGGTAGTTGATACTGTAGCGTATGTATGATATCATTAGCTAAGCCGGACAGGTACAGATTACATCTAATCTCAATCTACGACTGTATAAGGGTCAGTTCTACTGAATTTTTGGAATTGCTACGTAAATGTGAAGATTCGCTCACCTCAGCATGCCAAATGCTTTAAGTGACTCCAGCGGGAGGGCAGTCTGACCTATTTTCTGATAAATCTAGCTAATAGTTAGTTGACCACTTGGAGGCAGTCATTAGCTGTGTTTCCATTGAACATATAATTGCGCCGAAACTCAGAACACAGAAAGAAAGTTTTGGTCGTAGGATCAGGTGATTTTTCAGCTGTATTGATGTTGGTGTATTTCACAAAACTGCAACGGAAACACTTCTTTTTGCATCATACGAGTCATGTGACAACCAAACATCGCCACTGGTGCAAACCATGAAGAAGAAAACAACAGGATGTAGTTGGAGGATGTTAACGCGGCATGTTTTTAATAGCTTATTGTGTGAACTAACTTATTCACATGTGATTTTAGTTGCGTTACTTAATTAACTGAAACACAGCAGTTGTGAACTTGTGTTTTTTTGACATTAGTAGAATACTGACAAAGGTTTACACACATTTGTGATGGGAATGCAGCTGCAGACTTTGCATAGAGCCCTGAACTTCCATCCCAAGAAAGCTGAATGTTCAATAAGTACGAGGAAAAAAACATGACTGTGACATCATGGTTTTAGTAGCTTATACTGTATTTGTTTTTAATCTGGTATTCTTAAAAGCGGCCCAACATTCTTCAGCATTCCTTACATTAGTAAGGCACTCAGACATGTTTTGAAGACGTTTTACATCTTTAAAAAACCAGCATCATAATTATAAAACAATAATGCTGCCAGAGTGTTACTAATTCACTTCTAATTTTAGCTTCAGGGCCAGAGGAACCACACAGAGAGAAAGAGAGCGAGAGAGAGAGAAACAGCTCCAAGTTGGGTTTAGAAAGAGTTCAATTCATGCACACACACAAACTCATTTCCACAAGCCACTCAAACCGTGACATTTAAGGGATCCTTGGATGGATTTAAATGAAATTATCTGAACTGCTCTTGTTTCGGCGCATTCGGGGTAAAGATGTGGCAGGAAACCATCAATAAGGAGCTCCATCCTGTTATTTATATAAAATTATTCTTTATTTTTTTACACATCTTTAGCAGTAATGCTCATGAACCAAACATCATTCTAATGTTTTCACTGTAGGCAATCTCTTGGGATTTAAATGCTGGGCTTCTCCAGAGTCTATCAGGTGTGAAAACACAAACTCATAAATCAAAATGATCAGTTTTATTTAAAGTGGAAAAGCGAATTATTTACTGAACCAGAAAATTAACTCCATATTTTTCTGGCAAATCTTCGGCACCTAAAAAATGCAGGTGGATGAAAACCGGACCTCACTGCTTCCAGGTGTCCAAGTTTTAGGAACCTGAGCAGAACAACGTAAGTTCAAATGAAAAACTGTAACAGAGGCATCATAATGAAGCATAATGGAAGTTTCCCCAGTGCCTGATTGAACTGTTTACGGCATTTAATCATTTGCAGAGGTAGATTGAATGTTTGAATTTGATTGATCGCTTGGTCCTTTAATTTGCAGGAACCAGAGAACAAAACGAGTGTCAAATTATAATCGACGGTGATTGTAGCACCGACGTTACTGCAGAGAACGACAAGGTGGAGGTCAGAAAGGAGGGAGGAGGACAGACGGAGCAGCAGAGCAAAAATGGAAAGATGAATCTGTTTGCTATAATTCTGTCAAAGACAATCACCAAACTTTTGATTTATAGGTGAAAACAGAACACAGAAAGTCTCGTATTCACATTCCAATGACTCTGTAAAATAAAAACAGTAATATGAGGATCTACCAGGGAAAAAACAGCACAGAGTGGCTCCCAGTGACTGGTTGGGATCAGACTGTGATAAGGACGAGGTCTGAAAACTGTTAGACACTTGAGGAAATTAAAGCGAAAGTCAAAATTAAGATAAAGTTCTGCACTATGATGAGTCGACATTACAGTCATCTCTGCAGACAGACAGCTGATGGCCTCTAAAGGCCTTCTGTCAGGTTGTGTTGAAGTTTTTCCTTTAATTTGTTGAGCTTTTCTCCCCTAACCTTGAAGGGTGACTGCACAACATTAAAAACCTGAAACTGATCACCTCCTTGTGCTGAATTTACCTCGGAGACCAAACATCGTTCTAATCTAAAGAGCGGTAGGAACACTGAAGAGTTTGAAATCATGTAAACACCAACCAGTGGCATTTAGAATCAGCAATTTACAGCTGATGTTCTGCTGTGAAAAAGTATTTCTGCCTCTTACAAATGTCTAGTTTTGCTTTTTGGTCACACAAACTAAGTTTGATATCAAGCAAAGAAGACTTCAGACAAAATGCAGTTTTTAAAACATTATCAAAACTCTAAGGCAACAAACATCAGGGATTTTTTTAAGTTTAGGACTTCAACTTTACTATTTGAGTTTGCCAAACTTTGATTTCTACGTTTTTGTAAGTCGACCAAAAGTTGCAGAGACTTTGGATTCAAAGCTCTTAAAGCCTAAAATTTAGAATTTTCTAATTAACATTAAAGTGCCAGTAACAAAATATGAGTCTCAAATTTATGAAACTCAACTATAGTTTCCAGACACCTAAAATGTTAAATTCTCACAAATAATGAGGCTTAAGTGTGGATACTGTTTACAAACCAAGAAGATGTTTTAATCAGTTAAGTCATGAGTTATTAAAACATGAAAATGTTTTTCAGAAAGCAGCAGGTTGGTAAGGAAAGCACTTTTCACTCAAATCGATTCTGGT